AAGTAAAATAAAACTATACTTTGCTAATCTTAAAGTTTTAGGCCTGGATTCTACTTTAGTTCTGCTGGTGTATACTAGATATTCGCAAAAATTTCACGGGAGATTTTGGCTATTTGCTGGATGCCAGAGAAAGAAAAGTCAAATACTTGAATATTCTAGGAAAATAAAATGGTTTCAGAGATTAAACAATCATTGATTGAAATATAAGTGAGTTGAATTTGGTTGCTAAATCACTAGATAGAAATGACTTCCAGTGGCATTTGCACGGAAAATAAGAGGTACAGAGGAGAAGAAAGGATATTTATTAGCCTTCAGCAGTATTTTGGACATAGTCCAAGTCAGAGCATCAAAAACAGATTGTTTTTAAAAGAAAGCTTCAGTTTATCAGAGCTGGCTGTTTCTGAACAATTGCAAAAATTCACATGAATGCTGAAAAAAATCAGTCAGAAAACTAGACACCAAATATCTTGCGTGTTAAGGAATAAGTTTTTTGATGGATGTCAACAAGCAATCAATCCATAAATATTTGAGTATCTTCAATGTGTAATGCCAGGCTCTGCCAAGATTCCTATTCTCTAAATGTCTCCTCCACATTTGGATTTTTCCTTCTGTGGCCATATGAGCTCCCTTCCCCCTCCACTTCTAGTAGTTTTATTTTTTTTTAACGTTCTAAGTCTAATTCCTCTACTTTACTTCCTATCACTACAGCCCACAACTAAGTTTCTTAGGTAAGATATATTCAAGCAATTCTAACACAATATTACATAGATCAGCATCAAATCACTTTTGCCCATATTCCACCTACATACTATAAAGTTCTTTTACTGATCTTCTTTCTTAGTCTGAATATTTGTCCTCTTATGCTACAGTTTGACACCAGAATAACCCTCATTCCTATGCTGCAAGTCACATTATCTAGGTATCTCTAGACTAAGGCCTAGTCTTTTTGCTTTGGTCTCCTTCCAGGGGATTGGATCCTAGTGAGTAGATTTAGCATCAGTTCCTGACTTTCTTGCAGTATGCACTGTACTACTGTAAAAACTGGCTCCTATCTGCTTATTCATAAGGATTGATATGCAATTCCAAAATCTGTAAAGCATGCTCAAAGGATTGTAGGGCTATAGTGGAAAGGCATGAAAGATAAATTGATAATAATATTATGAGACAGAAGAGATAGCTCAAGATAGAACATGATAAATTCCATACAAGTTAACTAATCATGACAACTCCCAACAGTGTTAGTAAGGAGAGGTCACTGAATATGATGGGTGTGGATGAGTGGGATTTCAGCTGGGCACTACAACATGGATAGAATCTGAATTAAGAGAAAGAACAGAAAAGCAAAGTTACAGATCCCATAAAGCACAAAGTGTATACAGGGTAGAGCAAGTACAATAGCCTGGCTGTACTCTTATGAGCAAGCGTGTAAAACAGAAATAGCAATAGGTTGGCATAAATATTTCCATTTTCATCCATAATTTCAGCATCATGATGATATAGCTGAAAAGGAAAATAGGGTATCTCACTTTTATATATTCAGATGAAAATGTACAGGTCAATCAAGGTATCAAATAAATCATGACAAACCGATTTTTTTTTTTTCTTTTTGCGGTACACGGGCCTCTCACTGTTGTGGCCTCTCCCGTTGCGGAACACAGGCTCCGGACGCGCAGGCTCAGCGGCCATGGCTCACGGGCCCAGCCGCTCCGCGGCATGTGGGATCCACCCGGACTGGGGCACGAACCCGTGTCCCCTGCATCGGCAGGCGGACTCTCAACCACTGCGCCACCAGGGAAGCCCCAAACCGAGTTTTTATCATTAATTTTCAGAATGTCTTCTCAGTTACTGGATTGAGTAGGGGATCAACAATGTAATTTTTCTTCGTTTTGGTTTCTTTGAATGTTTCCTCACAGAAGATCAAGTAGTATACTTTAATAATGCAAGACATATTAGAAAAAGCAGTAGTAGTTTGGGATTTTAATCCTGGCTCTACCATCTTATTTATCAAATAAAAAATTATTATGAAGGCTCTGTTCTACAAATATTTATTATTTATGTTTCTATTCTAGGCTCTGGGTTACAGCAATGAAAAAAAACAGACTAAGTCCCTGCCCCATGGACCTTAACGTTAAGAGCTATGTGACCTCAGGAAATTTACTAAGTATTGACTTAGTCTCCTCATCTGTAAAATGGGATCAGTATTATTGATCATATTAAATTTTTTAACACATTTTTGACTGGAGATGTATTGCGGCCACAGGCATTAGTTTCTGCAAAAATCCTCTGGTCAACGTGTTAACATTATTATTTATATATTATAAACATACTATAAATAAATTGTTTACTGACATTTACTAGTGTCCATTAAGTGATAACTGGTCAAAAATCTATATAATCATCAAACGTAGTTTACTGTATATCATGCTTTTATTATGATTGGTTTAATTTTCATATTTCAGATACATATTTTATTTTCAACCAGTTAGAACAATGTGGTAAAGAGGAAAGAGAGCAAGAATCTACAGTAATCAGGAGCACTAGTTTTAACACTTAGTTCCATCATTTAGTAGTTATGTGATCCTAGACAAAAATGTACCATCTATGCATCAGTTTCTTTAACTATAAAATAAGGGTGAAATTATTTGATTTACCTAGCTCATGGGGTTGTTCCAAAGAATAGATGATTGATTTCAAAATGTAAATGGTTAAGAAGTATATAAATAAAAGTTAATTCATCCTCATCACATACATGCTCTGTGTCTGAAAATTACAAATACATATTTGGAGATATGTAGAGGAAAGGAGAGTACTAGAAGTCACTTCTTGAGTGGATCAAAATTACCTAAGGATTAAGGCACCTGACACAAGATGAACCATTATTCTCTTTCCCACTACAGGATCATGCCTTACTATCTAGAAGTATGTTTGAAGAGTGTCAGCTTAGCTCTGCTATTTTGCACAATTCTGGAAGATTTTAAGAGAAAGGGCGTTTATTAAGAAAAATAACATTCATAACTAAGACTATCAGGTATAAAGCTGTGTTATCTACATGAGTCTATTTTGGTCTCTTAGTGCTCTCAATGAAAACCTAGACGAGTGAAATGGGACAGGAAAGAAAGAGGAAAAAAGACATGATAAGAAGTAAAAATAGCAGGAGTGTAGAAGAGATAAAACAAAGAAAAAAAGACAAAGGGAAAGGTAGATCTTAATGAAGTGACATAAAAATATTTTTTTCCCTTGGTACAAGAAAAAAATAGATGCAGAAATAAACAAAACAGATGTGAAAAAAGAATAAAGAAAATGCACACATACAAGAGAACAAAAGAGAAAAATTAAAACAAGAGTGACATGATAAAGAGAAAATAGAAAAGAAAAAAAATTAAAAGACAGATGTCAGAAATAGATGCTTAATCTGTACATATCATAGGCAAATAAAAGAAACTGTTTAAGAAGTAAAAAATACGCAAAATCACTTTTTGTTTGCATTTTACATAGGAAACTGAATATTGCGAGTGATTTGTATATTTCAAAAAAAAAAAATAAATAAATAAATAAATAACATACACAATTCATTTTTGGAATCCAGATATGAGGGGGGATTTTTTTTTTTAATTCTGTCTTAAGATGGTGGTTGACAGACTGGATCATATTAATTAGGAAGCTCAGGACAACCAATAGAGAAGAAGGTGACATCAGGACCCTGATGCAGTCGTGGCGAAGAAAGGCAGTAATATAACTACATGAGCAAGCTACTTATGAATTCCAAATCTAATCACTGTTTTTGTTTTTCAAACAATATATTAAATAGTGAGATGCTTTTCAGAAATTTAAATATTGTAATCTGCCTAACTTTTGCTTGATTCATTGTACGACATGCTTTAGGTAGTCTTGATCTGGATACATTTTTGGGGGTCCTGAGAATTTATATGCTGTTTAACTGTCCTAACTTACTCAACAGACTGACCTATAATCAAATGTGCTGAATGTTTGGAGTACAATTCCCAAAAGTATAGCGATTATGCCATGAACTAGAAGTAAAATAAAGAAAATAACTTAGAAAGCTACATATTTTGCCTCAAAGGTGGTATGAAATATTTTATTAATGAATTTTAAAGTAAATGTAAAAATAGCTCAAGTTGAATAATCTGAAACTTTATTACTATCTCACAGTATAATTTATAAAATGTTAAATTGTCTATATTTAAATGTTCTGAATTGCTCACTTTTGAAGAACATATCAATTTACTATTTTACTTACCCAATAGCATTTTGGACATACTGTACTATTAAATTATATTTCTAGCACCCATAATAAGGGCTTTGAAAATTGCATGAATCTGTCACATATATATAATGCACAGTGGTATATCAAGCAGAATGTGTCAAAGGGCAAATAAAATTGTTTGTGCCCCCTATAGAATTAGAATTCCTTGGGCAGCACTGCTATAACGATCCCATGCTGCTAGCATTACAAAGTGCAAAGGTTCACTGGATAAGAAAAGAGCAAAGGACAGAGTTCCCTCATCACACTATTCCTAAACTATTCTAGCTTAAATATTTATTAAGATATTAATTACTCTTCCTCCCTCCATCAGCCTTCAGAAGTTAGGCTGAGAAACTGTGGATGGATGGTTGCTCATAGGAAAACAATGCATTAAAACTATAACCACCCAAGACGAAGACTGATGTTTGTACAGTGCATTATTAATTGATTTTGAGACTTAAATAAAATATCACACTGAAATAAGAATGTGCTTTGTTACTTTGAATAAAAAACAGAAAACATTTCAAATAACACCCTTGGGAAACAAATCTTTAAAAATTAACACTTAAAAAAAATAAACAAAATAATTTAAGAAAATAAAGAAAAGGAATGTAAAATTGCTTAGAACAGGTCTGAACATATGGAAGATTTTCAATAAATGTTAGTTGCTGTTGTGGTTTAAAAAAAAAGGAAAAGGAAATAATGAAGGAAAGTAATGATCTTGCTTATTACTTACTCTGATATACAACTGCATCATTTCTTTTTCCCTTTGGGGGTTACGATACTTCTCGTAGAAATCACGTCGCTTCTTTGTTTCTTTAGAGACTTTATCTTTTCTTTCCCGTTTTTCTGCTGGTTCATCTGAATTATCAGAAGATGACTGTACATGTATCTTTGGCTTTTCTACTTCGATATAGTTTTCATTGGGATTCAGTACTATTACTCCATATCCTTCCTGTTTTGAAAGCAAAAAAGGCAGCATAATTTAATATTAGAAATCATTATAATTCATAAAAACGTTCTTAAAATCTCAGTGATTTAATATAGTTACATATTCACTAAAATATTCCTTTATAATAGATTATAGTTTTAATTTCTCCAACAGAAAGTGATTTAAAATTATTTGCCTGTATTGTGTGTAGAAATAAGCATAGACTGTCTATAAGATCAAAAAGACATAATTGTAACACATTAAAATAATAAAGCTTAAATTAAAAAAGTACTAGATCTCCCAGAACCCCCAAAATGATTCAAATAAATTATCAAATAGCAAGTACACTTTCAAACCACATTAATATTTATAATACATATTTTGAGAAAATAACCTCTTTGAAATTGAAGTTTACAATTCCAACCACATTTTGCTGGATTTCTGTTCCTTTACAATTGCACTTTAATGAGTATTTTTTATTTGTTTGAACTTAAAAAAAGAATAAGCAATTAAAGAGGAGTAAACAGCCTACAGATTTACATGTCTTTATTATCAGGAACACAGGATGTCTACCTATGCATATTGGATTTTTTTCACCTCTCTTCTTTCAGGAAGGCACGCAAATCACAAAACAAAATAATGTCTTACTGTAATGTATGGAACCAAGTTTTTAATCCTGAAATTTCTTTTATTTTTCAACTACCATAAAAATTTCTCTTTATTAAGAACTAGTACCAAGAAACAAGTTCCAGAATTTAAAATACAGCTTATTGAGCTATTAAACTTTTTTTTAACGTTTTAAAAACATGTTTTCCCGTCTGACTTAATTCTAGCAAGGCAAACCTTTCTACAGTTATAATTAAGGAAACTTTTAGCATTTGTATTGTAACTGATGGAATAATCTAACCATGAGAAAATAGAGAAGGATAAACAATTACCACTGACAAGCCACACAAATTTTTGAAGCTATTTATATCTTGTCTTTTCTATTCAATTCTGTACTGTGGGTATCCCTATTTTGTCTGGTAAAATCTTGTAAGGTCATACTTAAAACGTGTTATATTATGTTTAAAAAATAAGAGCTCTTAAAAATAAAGCTTAACAAATTCTCATCCTTACTAAAAAAAAAAAAAAAAAAAAAAAAAGTACATACTTTTCCCAAAACTGTAACTGTAGAATCTTCTACATCAAGTTTAAAGTTAATTGTTTTTTGACAAACCAAACATATGATAATTAAAAAAAAAATGAGAGCAGTAATACAAGCCAATATTAGCATAGACTCAATTGTCCTTATTTTTAAATATGCTACATTGCTACACATTGTTGGCTTTTCTAATAGTTGATTTCACATACAAACTTCATTGGGATTGTTTCAGTTTCCCCCCAATCAGTTGATATTATTGTCTAAAACCATGATATGGTTTGGAGATTTTCAAGATCACTGAAGTTTTGATTTTAGTGATAGGGCTGTTAATTAAGATACAGTTGTCTTACACATATGAAAACTACATAATAATATATACCAAACTGATAAACAAAATACCACATATTCCTCAGTATGTGTTTAAATAAAACCTTTCATACCTTGTTCATGAAAGGCTTATAAAACACTTTACAAATTTTTTAATTTAAATGTTCATTAACAAAACACAAGACAAGATCATTTTTTTTAAGTTTCCTAGCTGGTAAGTCAAAGTTTTACCAACAAAAGATATTTTATTTGGTTCTGCTTTTTTCTAATCTGTATAGCTATTCAAAAGTCTTGTAATTCATTGTGATCACTGTCAGGTAGACATATTGTTACTCGGTGATTTTCTACAGTTGGACACACTTGACTAGTTATTAAAATCACATTTGAAGGAAGTTCCTACCCCTCTTCCTTGTGCCTCTTACAACTTTTCACGCCCCTCTCAAATTTCAGCTATAACTTCTCCTCCCACCAAAAGTAAGTTAAAGAACACTGTTGCACTCTGCTAAACAGGCTGAAATAGAGGCATTCAGTACACTGCCTCTGGTGTAAGGAACATAGTCAAAAAAGGTCACCATAGGCCAAAAAGAAAATTGCCTCCTTACTAGATTCTGTACCGTGAGTAAGTGGTCTCCTGTCATGTTTCTTCCCTTCCTTCTCTGAGTGAACTGAACTTTACACACACACACACACACACACACACACACACACACACACACAGCCTTTCATACTTACAAGAGTTAGGGTTAGCAAGACCAAAACAGAATCTTAGAGTTCTTAGAGATGAAAATAGTGATATATTACATTTTAATGATAATATGAAAAATTTCAAACTCAAGGTAACAAAGTGGGACTTTAATAAATTGATAGAACATGAACATCATCTTTGTACAATGAATAAACTCCAAATAAAGGTAAATTCTTTAGACAAAATTTATAGTCACCAAAAATGAGAAAGCTATCACCCTAGTTTATAATCACTAGAAATAATATTTGCATAATGCCAGATTTATTTGAGCAGAAGTTTTTACTTTAATTTTTGCATATCATAGATTGAGAAATTATTGTGCCTACTTGATTTTAAATGAACTATGAAATTTGATATGTTCCATCTAAATAAGTATAAAAACCAGAAACACATAAATCATCAAAGTAGTAGTATTTGTCTAAGTTATCGATTATGTAACTGAAAATTACATGACTCATTTCTCCAATTTTATAAAGACACGATGTCAATTTTTCACCAAGGCATCAACAGATGAAAAATGATTCTATTTTTAAATCATGACTATATAAATCAATTAAATAATTTTTATCATATAAATTTCAACAATGAATGCTTTTCTTTAAACATTTGATTTATTCAGAAAATATTTTATCATTTAGATATTTCATCTGCAAATTTAATTAATGGAATAACAATCAAAAAATATTCAGGAACATTTTCTGTGGAAATGAGAGCTAATTTTAATAAATGTCTTTGTTGCAAATTCAATTACCATTCTGTAAAAAACTTATATTTTTCAAATAAAATTTTCCTGATAATTAATGCAATATTCACAGAGACCATTCATAACCATTTTATGAGTAGGAGAAAGCTGGAGCAACAAAATAAAGTTAACTATCCCACCTAAAGATATGTAGTAAAACTTCATATTTTCCTCTTTTTCTCTGCCACATGTAAACACTGTCCAAAAAATCCTTTTACATAATAAGCTACAAAGAGTTTTTCCATGTTAACATTAATATATGTAAACTAAGGAGTCAAAGTAAATAGAGTAAACAAAGCAGACCACAAACCAGCAGTTAAATTTAACTGTTTTAAATAGAATGATATCAATTTATATCTTAAAAAAAGAGAATAAACACCATTTTAAAAATCAATTCTTTCTATCCCAAGTAACTCAATCAGTACACACAGAAATAAGTAAGAAGAGATCCTAGTTTAACCTTTAACAAATGTACCCATAAAGTTTTACAAAACTACTCTGTAAAACCAGGCGTCAAATATAATATCATAAAAGAACTGTGCACTGCCACTCCAAAGGAGATCTCCATAATTAATGCTTAGAACATTAAACATTTTATATTGAAGTATTTTTAATTTAATTATTCCTTAACCATGCTAAATTTCTCCTAAGATGAAAATTCTGGTCATTTCAAATGTACATGGAAAGTTCTGTTATCTTTACCAAGATAAAGTGATCAAACTGATTATCTAACATTCTACAACTAAATAAAAAAAACTTCTGGCATCTTTTGTAATGATTCACCCAAATCAATTCCAATATCCAACATTTCAAGAGACAAAGCATACATAAAGTTGTTAATTAACTCTTATGTTTGATCGCACAGTCTAATAGAAGATCAAGGTGATCAAGAGGACAGATATTGGTAAAAGTAAGCTTTAGCTCTTTAATTTACCTCATCCTATTTTCTACCCTTTTGTAGCTATAACATAGTTTCATTATTAAACCTGTTTATAAGGTATAAACCATGGGATCTTAATCAGAAACTCCCCAAATTTTACTGCTTGACGTAGCATTTTATTCATCACAGTGCTTGCTGTGATTTAAACAGAATACACAGGCCTCTGGGCCTCCTTTACTTTGAAGTCTATAGATGCACTTACTAATAAATAATAGTTCATTTATCATTCAATCAACAAATGATGGCTTAGGTCAGAGGTCTAGAACAGACAGGTGATGCAAAACACAAAGAACCAAAGAGGAAATCTTGCTTAAGAAATTAAATCAGTACAGAAATGTACTTATGGAGAAGATTCTACAAATAGATAAAATTTTTAAATGCCTGGCCAGAAACAGAATGTACTTTTGACCCCAATGAAACCTTGCCAAAACTGAAGATTTATCTAAGTTAATTTGCCTATTAATTACCAATTACAAGGAAATCGGAAAATAGGAGCAAATTCTACATCTTTTCAAATCTCTTGTGGTTGGCTACATAAAAAATCAGCTGAAAGTACTCAGCTCTACATATTAACCTGCCAATACTGCAAAGCCACATGTGACCAAAGAGGTCAGGGGCCAGATTAGAATCCTTTGACCTACGGAACTATCTGTTTTGGTCTTCAGGCAAGGCTCCGTAAGAGATCATTTTACACAGATTTATCAATCATATTTTTCACGTTCAGCATTCTATCTGCTTGGTTTGAAAGAAGATAGGTGCCCATCCTCAAGGGAAATGAAACCCAAAGTGTCTTATCTATAAACTACATCTACTACTGTCCATTCATCTTTTCTGAAAGATGTATGTTGTGTTTCTTCTCATCTTTTTCTCAAGAAGGGTATGTATATGTCACTGTTGCAACATCCTAGGTGCAACAGTGAGATGAGGTCATGACAACCAATCAGAAGTCACTAGTGAAGCGTTAAAGTAAACATAGCTGTTGGAGCTGCAGCTCTGCTTGAAAACTGCCCCCTCCATTATTTCAGCAATTTTCTCAAGACGTGACCTGGGACTGAAAAGCCTGAAATGTCACTTGACTCTGTTTTGTGCTTCTTCCCAATTGCATTTAGGTAACAGCACCCTGCTA